TCTGTCGTTGTGAACTTAAATCTAGATGGGGTACAGACAAGTAAATATAAGATATAATAAATATAGTGTAATAAGTACTTGGATGAAGAAAGCAAAGATTTATGTGGAGGGAGCTTAACCCAGATATTGAGAAAATCTTCCTAGGAAAGTATTTTATAAGTGTGAAACCCCAGGGATGAGTTGATATTAGCCATAAAGAAGAGTATTCACAGGGGACTAGTATTAAGATATATGGTTCAGTAAAGCAGAAGCATGGGGAAGAAGAAGCAAGACTGGAGAGATACATTGGGGTTAGATTAGGAAGCCTCTTCCAATCCATATAAGGGGACTTGGCCTTTATGCTGATATAAGTGCAGAGCCATGAAGGGTTTTATGCAATGTATATAAAGAATTTAGCAGTGGCTGGCACCTGGGAGCTATGTTAGATAAACGATTTACTTCTCTTTTTATCATAATTACTCCAATCTCTAACATTTCTCAGGAATTTTGGGACTATACTATGGATAAAGACCCATGGTGTTTGGGTACTTGCTACCCACATCTTCCCCACTAGAAAAGAATATGAGGAGGGACCACTTTAGCTACTTTGGTGTCAGTGTTTCCACATTGATCTAATGTTTCGTCTTATCTTTATCTCTCTACCGGAACACATGTTGATCTCTTCATTTTAGGAAAAGTAGTTTATTCACCTCTTGAAGATGGTTAGGGCAATGGAAAACCAATGTAGATCCTTAAACCCAATAGAAATATAATTATGTGGTAGTTAGGCAGATTAATCTTTTAGGCAGTTTGCAGGATAAATTAAAAGGGGAAAAATTGATAAAGAAAGCCTTGTTAGGATGCTTCTTCATCAGTCTTCCCTAGCTCAGTAAACAACAGCTCAGTTCTTCCAGTTCCTCAGGCTAAAATCCTGGAGTTATCCTTGACTCACCTCTTTGCAAATCAAACATGCAATCAGCAAATCTCATCATCTCTTCCTTCAAAATATTAGGGTTATTAAATGTGAAATGTCCAATTTCCTTAAGACTAAGTTTGACAGTTGATATCTCTGACATTTCACTTTGATACTTCTTGTTTTATTTTTATTGTGAAAGAACATCCTCAGTGTTTCAAATGCATGTTTTGGCTTGTGATTATCTTTCAAATTTTTTTTCTATGAGAGCAATTTTTGTGAAACCCTGGATAAGTTAAAAATTTGTGTTTTGAATATGAGTTCCACCATGGAACCAATGCAGTGTAGACAGCTTGAAATATCAATGAAGTGTTTGGGAAGGATGTGGCTAATGAACACATAGTACGTTGATGGTTTGAGAAGTTCCATGCTGGTGGTTTTAATCTTGAAAGGAGCCATGTGGGTGACCTGAGACCAAGGTGGACAATGATGAGCTGAAAGCTGTAGTGGAAGCGAATCCATCTCAACCTATGTGTGAATTAGCAGCAAGGTTTGACGTTACTGTTCCAACAATATTGGACCCTGTGAAACAAATTGGCAAGGTAAAGAAGCTGGGTAGATGGGTTCTATGGAAGATAGAAGCTGGATTAAATGAGCATCAGAAGAGAAATTATCTCAAAGCTTGCCTTTTTTTGCTGTCATGACTTGAAGTCAAACCATTTCTTCTACACCATATTGTTATGTGTGATGAAAAATGGATTCATTTTGACAATTGCAAGTGTTTGGCACAATGGTTGGATAAAGACAAAGTGCCAAAACGTGGCCTAAAACCGAATATTCATCAAAAAAAGCTAATGGTGTCTGTTTGATGGTCCAGTGCTGGTATTATCCACTACAGCTTCAGGAAATCTGGTCAGTTGATTACAGTAGATGTCTACTGCAACCAATTGGACGAAATGATGAAATGCTTGTGATTAAGCAGCCGAGGTTGGTCAATAGAGACAGGCCAATCCTCTTGCAAGACAACGCTTAACCACATGTGTCACAAACAGTGCTCCTGAAACTACAGAGGCTGGACTTGGAAGCTCTCTGTCATCCGCTGTATTCACCAGACTTTGCACCAGCTGACAACCACTTCTTCCAGGCTTTGGGCCACTTTTTGTAAGGAAAAATGTTCAATTCTCAACAAGCTGTGGAAAACGCCTTTTGCGATTTCATTGCCACTGGCTTTCCAGGCTTCTTTGCTGCTGGTATAAAGCTACCGTTAAGATGATAAAACCATGTGGATAGTTCAGGTGCATACTTTGATTGATTGTACTGTTTCTTGTTTGAGATACAATAAACTACACTTTTGATTCAAAATCGGACATTTCACATTTAATAATATATCCAGTATCTAGCCATTTTTCACAATCTCCTGTCATCCAAGTCAGAATCACAACTATTGTTCATCTGGGCTGTTGAAATAGCCTCCTTTTTGGTTTTCCTGATTTCATCCCCCCTCCTCTACAGGACAGGCTCCTCATTATGCCACCTCTCTGGTCAAAACCATGTGGTGGCTTCACTCTCAGAGTAAAAACCGTATCTTATAATGGCCTACGAGGCCATATGTGACTTGTGTTTCCACTGCCTATCCTACCCTGTCTCTGCATATTGATTATCCCAACCACTCACTGTCCACATTCACTCTGCTTCAGTCACATCTACCTATTTGCTGTTTCTTATACAAATCAAGTAAGTTTCTACCCCAGAACATTTGTGTTTGCTGCTCCCTCTTATGCCTGAAACTCTTCCTTGGATGCCTGCAATTCTTCCTACCCCCTTTTTTTCAAATCTCTGCTCAAATGTCACCATATCGTATCCTGGAGTCCTTCACTGACCACCTCTCTAAAGTAGTGATACCCTCCATTACATCATTCTTTTTCCCTATCTTTGTATTTTTTTGAACAACTTTAATGAAGTATAATTTGCATATAATAAACCACAAATAAATAAAAGTATGCAATTTGATGTA